CCGTACCCACCCTGCCTCATCACTGTACTACCAACACCACCGAAAATATTCCAGGAAGACGCGTTACGATCAAGATCATCCACGCCACCACTGACTCCGCTACTAACACTACTGCTTCTCCTCCGATCACTACGACTACCAACACCCAACTGATCATAATGCTGTGGTGGTTGGTAGAGATGTTGCCGGTGCTGGTGAAACTGATAACACTCCTGCCATAATTCGAAACCTTTGCTGTAGATCTCCTCGTTCTTGAACAGATACAAGCTTTGGGGGCTAATTATACCATCATCATGCTCTTGATCTTGCAAATGATGGTGGTGTTCTTCGTCAACTTTACCGATTCCGATACCTCCTCCTAGTGAGAAAAATCCAGACATTCTTTTACACCCCAACTCCTAGTCCTCCCAAACTTAGCTTCCAAGATCAAACTCAAATCCATGGCAGAAGAAGAACAAAAAATTAAAAATAAATAAATAAATTAAAAAGTTATGAAAATTTGTGTGGTAATGAAGAGTGTAGGGGTCGGATAGTGTCAACTACTCAAAGATCTAGGGGGGGTTAACTTGTGAATTTTTGTGGTTTTTTTTTTTGCTTTTGCTGCCTACTTGTGTGTGTCAAGAATGGTATTTTCTCTGTGTGTGATATAGACTCCGATATCCATCATCACTTTTCAAATTTATATTTATATATTTATTTCCATTTTTAATTTTCATAAAAATATCTTTAAATACTCATAATTCAAAATTATCAAGTATCAGTCATGGTTGTTTGTTTACCTTTTAATAGTTATATTAAGACGCAGTCTCTGAATCGTTAAGAAATGAATTTTGTTTGACGAAAAAAAAATCTGCCTCTTAATAGTTCTAAAACCCTCTGAATAATTTTGTATCATGGGTCTCTCTTAACCATTCAACACCCTAATTTCATTGTAAACAATTATATTTAGTTTGCACTATATTATAAGAGTCTCTTAATGATTCTGACCATTTAATCATTCTGCACTAAACCATTTAGCAACTGCCAAACAGCCCCTTAATTAAAATAAAGGAAAAATTAGATGCATAATCTTAGATTCTTAATCAACTATATATATACACTGTTTAGATTCTTACAACTTTATTAACAGTGTTTAATGTGGTAACCGGATCCTGGCTATCACCCAAGGTAAATAATATGTAATTATCTGATTGAATGATTATGTGATAGCATGATAAATTGATACGTTTAGTCATGCTGGTATGTGAAAATTATGTGCATAATGTGATTATGTGTATGAAAATATATACATGGTATATGTATTTGAAATGAATGTGTATATATTTTTATATATATGCATAATGTATATGTGCATACATGTATGGTAAGGGCGGTTTAGCCGCCTTACCTTATTTAGAACGTATAAATATGAGGGTGAGATCCTCATATCTCTTTTCCTGATCATTTTTGAAGAAGTGTGTAAAAGTTTAAAGTGAGGTTGATCGAATTACAAGTGCTTGATTTCGAGAAGATTGAATCTCATCTGATTGCATAAGGTGAGTAGTTTCTAAAACTCTTTTGCATAAAGATTATTATTGGTTTCATATGAATTTTGTTTGAATTTGGATAGAAATCAGTCTTTTTGCTCTAAGTGTTTATCCGGATATTAAACCGGACAAGGTTTGACCGGATTATTTTAAATCGGACAAAGGGTGGACGATTTGTTGTCCGGATTGTTTTAAATCGGACAAAGGGTGGACGATTTGTTGTCTGGATTGTTTTAAATCGGACAAAGGGTGGACGATTTGTTGTCGGGATTGTTTTAAACCGATTAAGTTGTGAACAGAGTATTGTCCGGACTTGTTATTCGGACAAAGATGTTGGTTTATATTCTAAGTGATAAATCGTTCAAGTTTTATGCGGGGTATTGACCGGATTTGTTATCCGGACAAAGTTGAAAATTGTTCAAGTGTTAAATCGGACAAAGCTTAGGCTGTGTTGTCCGGATAGTTGACCGGATTTGAAGTCCGGCTAAGTCAAAGTTGACCGAATTTGATGTAATGTTGTGTTTTCGATAAGAAATGTTATTTTATCATAAAAAGAAAGTTTTGAAAGAAATATTTTGTGTTGATAATAATTTCAAAGGCTGCAGTTTATTTGAAATTATTCTTTGAAATTATTCTGTGAAAACATTTTGATGAGGAAATAAGGGTGGCATATTAAGGAGAGGTGTACCATGGGATAAGGGTGGCATATCAAGGAGAGATATACCCTTTGGATATAAGGGTGGCATTTGTATGTGTGTTGTATGATATAACTCATTCTATTATATCATTTAAGACTACCGTGGTCCGGAGTCTTTATTTCTTTGTGACTTAAAGATTTAGGATCAAGGTTCTTATTGGAAATCATAGTTTGGATGTTATTGAGAAGAAAAAATGTCAGGTTTGGCCTGAAGCTTTAAATAACCTTGTTGGTTAAGAAAAGGTTTAAAAGTGGCATTATGTGGAACCTGATTGGT